CCAGGCGCTGCTGGCCGACGTGGACACGCTGCTGTTCGACTGCGACGGGGTGCTGTGGCGCGGCGAGACGGCCGTGCCTGGCGCGCCGGAGGCCCTCACGGCGCTGCGGACCCGCGGCAAGCGCCTCGGCTTCATCACCAACAACAGCAGCAAAACCCGCGAGGCCTACGCCGAAAAGCTGCGGCGCCTGGGCTTCGGCGGCCCGGCGGGGCCCAGCGCCGGCCTAGAGGTCTTTGGCACGGCCTACTGCACCGCTCTCTACCTGCGCCAGCGCCTGGCTGGCGCGCCGGCTCCCAAGGCTTACGTGCTGGGCAGCGCGGCCCTGGCCGCGGAGTTGGAGGCCGTGGGTGTCGCCTGTGTAGGCGTGGGGCCCGAGCCCCTGCAGGGCGATGGCCCAGGCGCCTGGCTGGACGCGCCGCTGGAACCCGACGTGCGCGCTGTTGTGGTGGGCTTCGACCCGCACTTTAGCTACATGAAGCTCACCAAGGCTGTGCGCTACCTGCAACAGCCCGGCTGTCTTCTCGTGGGCACCAACATGGACAACCGGCTCCCGCTCGAGAACGGCCGCTTCATTGCGGGTCCGTGCGCCCCGGAGGTGGGAGGCTGGAGGGCAAGCGGCGGGCCCCTCGCCCCTCCGGACCGCTGACCCCGGACGCTCTCCTTCCCTCCCCTCTCCCCTCTTTCCGCCCCACAGGTACGGGTTGTCTGGTCCGAGCTGTGGAAATGGCCGCCCAGCGCCAGGCTGACATCATAGGGAAGCCCAGCCGCTTCATCTTCGACTGCGTATCCCAGGAATATGGCATCAACCCGGAGCGCACCGTCATGGTGGGAGATCGCCTGGACACAGACATCCTCTTGGGTGTCACTTGTGGCCTGAAGACCATCCTGACCCTCACCGGAGTCTCCACTCTAGGGGATGTGAAGAGTAATCAGGAAAGTGACTGCATGTCTAAGAGAAAAATGGTACCTGACTTCTATGTTGACAGCATAGCCGACCTTTTGCCGGCTCTTCAAGGTTAAAGATTTAGCGTCTTTAATCTACAGAATAAAAAAAAATTGAAAACCACTTAACTAAACTAATAGATGGGGCTTAAGCATCTGTTCAGCTAGGTGGCTTCAAAAAGTATACTTGGAGTTAAGCAAAGGCACTAGTTGTTAACCTTGTAAGTAAACGTTTGGGGGTGATTTTGTTACAGACGTTTATATTTCAACATGCACTTTTAAACTTGGAGGACATTGTGGGGGTCCTGGGCCTTGATTGGCAGGCTCCGCATCTGTCCAGGATTCAGATAACCTCAGAATCTGCTGATGAGATTGAGGTAGATCTAAAGGTGTCACATATTTTATTGAAAATTTCATTCAGGGATCTAGCCCCCTTGCAGGACAAAGGGAAGGATTACTTTGACTGTGGTTAAGAAACTTGTACAAACCGACCCTGGGCCCCATCCGTGTGATAATCAGCAGAAGATTTGCTGCTGCATCCCAGCGCCTCACCTGCCGGGTGGGAGTGAAGGAGGGGCCTGCTCCCTGGTGGTGTCTCCCTGTCCTTGGGGTGTGGGGTGCTGCCCTCACTACTACCACTCCACACTTCCTTAAAAACCACTCTGATGTCACAATTGAGTGTCTGTTCCGTTTCAAATGCCCAAGGCTGCTGCTTCTCATATATGGTTGCGCAGTTCTGTAAACTCAGTCCAGCTAAACTATGGCTTTCTCAAATGTGCATTTAAACCCAGGTGACTTGGACTGAGCATGTTTTGTTGGCTGAGTGCCACGGACGGCATGGATGCCTTTGCTGAACTTGGGGCTACTGTGCAGGGAGCTCAGAGTAACATTGGCACCAAAAAAACTTTTTTTTTTTTTGCTTTATGAACAACTTTGTCAAGGGTTGGAATCAAATCTTAAGTGTTTTGATTAATAGCTTTGCTCTGTCTCATAGGTAAAATCCCACTGAAGAAGTTTTTGTGCCCTACAGCCAGCAGCATGGCTAAAGTCATGTGCCAGCCAAGGAATGCCTCTTGCCAGGGTGCTTTCTGGGTAGGGGAAGAATGAGGTGTCCTCAAGAACAGGAAGTCCTTTTACAAAACATCCAGTCTCTTCCTGTCCCCCCATACCCTTGGTTGGGGTAGGGGTTAGATGCCAGTGGTTCACGAGGCCAACTATCTTGGCCCTGGAGTCCCTTATTGGTGTCCAGCTGAAGGACTAGCAGGATCTACCAGCTAGCCAAGTGTTCTTGGCAGGGGGCCCTGGCTTTTTCTGCCTGTTCCCTAAGTTGCTGACCTTCGGGAATAGGCCTGATAAGCAGATTCTTCAGCCACACTACTAGGGTAGAGCCTGGGAAGCTGTTCCTTTGGGCTGACTCCTTCCTGGTGCCTTGCCCTGCACCCAGTGGTGTCTGCCCACAACCTGTGACTTCTCTCTTAGTCCCAGGGTCACAGTGCTCTTTCATTCTCTAAGAGTTCTCAGAGCAATAAAGGATGTCCTGAGCCTTTAGCTCCTCCCAGGCCTGGGGCGTCTGGGGTTCAGACTCTGCCATGGAGCAACAGCAGGGCAGCCAGTGCCTGTGAGGTTGGTGGTGCTGACGTTAGCTCTGCAAGGTCAGCTCAAGGTAGGTCTGGATATTGAGCAGGCCTGTCAGGGTGTTGTCACCCACACCGGGAGCATGCGGCACATGAGGCAGCCAGCGATACCCCCTCTTCTACACTCCATCTCTGCCCCTGTTGCACTGTGTGAACCCAAATGCATATTAAACTCTCAAATCCACACTGACTGGCTTCCTTGCTCTCGCCTTGACAGCTTTCACACAGGCTGCAGCTGTCTAGCCTTAGTGTGGGGGTGGGGTGAGAGGACTCAAAGTCAAAGGTCATTCTGGGATTCCAATTCCAGAGCTAAAACCCAACCCCATCTCAAGCTCATTACAGAGGAGCAGGTTCTGAAAAACCAAGAAAAACGAGGCACAAAGCAAAACCAGAGTAGAGAAGGGCCGTGGGGTGAAGCTGTTAAGGTCAACCATGTTGTGAAAGCTGCCAGTGCCCAGGGAGCCCTGATTGTCGCAATCCACATCAAGTAGCTAGAGATGCAAGCTGGGAGCCAGGATCATAGCATAGTTCAGTTAGAGAAAGCCACGCTGGGCAGGGACTGGGGGACACCAGGCTAACCTAACCATCCCAGGGTATCAGGGAGATTCAAATAGGCTACCTTTACTGCAGCAGAGCCTCCTGGAAGCCATCCTGGTCTCGGGTGAGCTCTGTGGGATGCCAGGAAGCCTGTCATGTGTTGGTGCTGGGAAAGAAGGAGGTGGCGCGGAATCTAATACCAATTTTTCACAAAACAGGCATTTATAGATGGTTTGTTGCGTGCCAGGCACTGTGCCCAGCCCTAGGAGTCTTGCAGTAATCTGAGAGACTAGAAACAGGCCTCTAGGAAAGACTAAATCTGCCACCAAACATATTCTACATAAAAGTTGTCCTGATTGGGCCTGAGCTACTTTCTGTACCCTTCAGTGGGGCTCAATTTCCACGATGAGCGTGCTCTCAACGCCCTTCCAGGCCCATGTGCTCTCCAGTTTGCACAGACCAGGTGTCAGGAGAGTCAGGCACACAAGCACATACCCCCTCCCCCACCAGGTGGAGGGGAGAGGGCTGTCCTGGCTCAGGTAGCTGGGCTGGGGAGGAGGCACTGGGATCAGGAGGGGAGGGGGCCATGATGGTTGGCTCATCAGAGGCTTCCTGAGGTTTCTCTGGCTGACTCCTAGGGGTAGCAGACAATCAGCACATTGTCACCAGGGCTGCAGCATGGAACAGGGGAGCTGCTGTGCAGAGGGCCCTGAGCCTGGGCCTGTTGGGGTGAGTGCCTTCCCACTACCCAGTGCCCTCTCCTGAGACAAAGACCCAGGGCATGCCCTGAGCAAGAGACAGGAAGGCAGTGCCCATCTTCCATACCTCCTCAGCCCCTACCTTCTCTAAGCTGGCCTGCTCGCTGATCTCTGTTCTAGGCTCCACTGACTGAAATGTGCCCCCAAGTGAAGACCAGGCCCTGCCATGGGTGCTGGAAAACCCCTGGCCCGCTGCTGCTGCTGCTGCTAGCACTGGCTGTTGTTGGGGCTGTGGCTGGAGGGCTTCTTGGCCTCGCTCATAGCCCTCCCAAGGTGAGGCCTCATCAAGACCTGGGCAGGGGCATGAACAGTGGGATGGGGGAGGAGAGACCAGCGTATTCAGCCCTCCAGTGGAGCCAGGGCTCGGAGCTGAGCTGATGGCAGGAAGACAGGAGTAGAGGGGTCAGAAGTCTCGCAGCAGGACAGGTAGAGTTGTGGGCTGCCCTGGCCTGCCCAGCTGAGTTCCAGCTCTCCACTCAGCCACTGCTGCAGATGCTCCATCTGACCCTCCCGAGCCCCAGGGTGTACCAGTACAACCAAACTACCCAAGTGGATGCGGCCCGGAATGTGGCAACCATCAGGGTGACCCCGGCTCAGAGCAACCACAGCTGGGCGGTGTTGTTCGACGGGGAGAGCGTGAGTGGGCCAGGGGGTGGGAGGATCACTGCTCAAGGATGTTCAGGTGGACCTGCCTCATCTGCCTGCTTCCCCAGGGATGTGTCTGCTACCGCCCCGCAGAGCACAAGGCCTGCTTCCTCCGCCTAATGGATCCCCAAGATCATGAGACCCTGCAGCTTCTGATGAACACCTCAAGGGTGAGCAGCCCCTGTGCACACACAGCCAGGCTTCCCAGGCCAGGGGCCAGACAAAAGGTCCTGTGTATAGGGGCCTGGGGCAGGCTGGGGCTCTAGTTTCAGTGCAACAGAAGCTCTATCTTCCCTTGGCTAAGGCTGCTGACAAGAGCTGAAGGCAGGGCTGGCACAGTGCTGGCATGTCCAGGGATGCATAAGCCCTGCCCAGCCAATCCACGTGTCCCTGGCCCATAGCCCACCAGAGCCTTCTCTGCAGGCCCAAGGGTCTCACAGCCCCAGCCAGGACACCCACTATACCCAGGAGCTGCTGGAAGTTCTCGGGAGACATGAGGTGGACCCTGCTCAGGTGGGGGCTTCAGTGCGGCACCTTTGTGAAAAGACCCCCATTTACTGGGCCCGTCGCGCAGAGGGTGAGTCAGGGCTGGCTGTGGGGAGAGGCCTGGGCTCCTGCAGGACAGTCTGGGAGAGGGGGAGGCGCCCTTTGGGGTTTACAGAGGACCCTACCCCCAGGGCCACGGAGGCAGCGGCTGATCTACCTGTGCATCGACATCTGCTTCCCAAGCAACGTCTGCGTGTCAGTTTGCTTTTATTACCTCCCAGACTGAACCCCCAGCACTCCCAGCCCCACAGGCCAGCCAGCCAGCCAGCCCCATCACCGGTACCATGGAGGGCAGCTGCCGGCAGGGGCTAATAAACCCCTCCACTTGGCTGTGATGGTGTTCTCTGTGGCCTCGGGACACAACACAGTGGTGGGGAGCAGGGGAAGCACTGGCTTTGGGTGGGCACTAGCCAGGTTGGCTCAGGCTGGTCTCCTGAGCCCTGTCACATTCAGATAAGCAACTAGGGGCTAAAAGAGCTCCCAGGCAGACCAGCTTAGCCAATCTAAGCTGGCCAAGGGGGCCAGGGTAGGTCAGCCAGGTCCAGGCTGGTAGAAGCTAGCCCACAGGAGTTCACTCTGACCTGGGTAGCTGAATAGTCACATCCGGCTGGTGCTGCTTGACAGCTGCCTGCAATCCCAAGGGGGTGCAGGCTAGCCCAGCACACTGTCATTGAAGGCCAAGCACACCACAGCTTTTTGGTGGCCACCGTACTCTCTCTTGATCTCTCCTGTCTCCACACACCAGAGCCGGGCCAGGTTGTCAGAAGAAGCTGCAGGGAGGAAAGGCATGGGCAGCAGCTCAGGACACAGCCCCAGGCCGGGCCACACTGGAGGCCAGCTCCCAGGCAGCAGTGGAGCGGCAGCAGCTGCCATTGGACTAGTGAGGCAGGGAGGCAGGGTCGGTGGGACTCACCAGTGACAATGTACTGGGAGTCCCCTGAGAATGCGCAGCCCCACATCCAGCCTCGGGATGACTCTCCTGGGTTGCTGCTCTTGATGCTCAGCTCTGTCATCAGGGAGAAGTTGGATGTTCTCCAAATCTTGCATGTCTGGTCGGCTGAGCAGGTGGCGAGGAGGCTAGGGATAGGTGTGAGGGTGGCGGGGGTGTCATCATAGCCACTCCAACCCTGCAACCCCTTGCCATCTACCAGGCAGGCCCAGAACCATTAAGCCCCCAGCCCTAGGCAGGTCCCATCCCCCCAGAAGCCATCTGAGGGCCCCTGGTCCCCCAGACTCTGCACACACGTGGAGTCTGGGCTGAAGCGGCACTGCAGAGCATAGCGGGTGTGTGCTGGGATCTTGGTCTTGGGGATGAGCTGTGTCACCTCATCACCAATGCCCCCCGTCAGATTCCAGACATAGCAGTTCCCCTGTGGAATATGAAGAAAATCATGGGAGCCTCCAGTCTGACACATAGGGAAGGATGCACTAGTAGCGAGACCCAGATCAAGGGGCCACCATCCTACACTGTGGCTGTGCACAGGGATCTAGTGGCCAGGGACATGTGGCAGGCCCATCTGGTCCTGGTCCAAACCAAGGGCCATACCTGGTGGGCCGAGAGCAGGAAGCTATTCCTAGCCTACCTGGAGGATGCTGCTGGCCAACTGGAATGTAGAGAATGAGATGGGAGGAAGGCACCCCAGAAAGAGAGAATAGCAATGCAAAGCCTCAGAGGAGAGCAATCTGGGGATGTCATGGGACAAGTGATTTAATGGATGTTAAAGGGAGAAAATAAGGCTGGAGAGGAGATCAGGGGCCAAACCACAGCATCTCAAGGCCATGGGACCCAGGGGAACGATGCGATCAAGCTGGTATTGCTGAAAGATGCTCTGGCGGCAGGAGAATGGATGGAGGAGGTAGGGGATCAAAAAGGAGAGAAGGAGACTAGAGAGAGAAGGAGACAAGGGAAACTTGGATCAGGAGGTGAGGGGGATGGGAGACTTGAGAAATTCAGAAGCTGGAATCTGCTGATGGGCTGCAGCAGGTAGTGAGAGATGGCATCTGACTTTGGTGGACAGGTTAGAGCTGGAGCCCAGGAGGAGGCAGCAGGAGATGTCCCCCAGGCCCCCAGATGTCCCCCAGGCCCTTCCCCCTACCCTACAGGGGGAAGGGCCTGGGGGACATCTGGGGAATAAGCCAACCTACCAGGAATAAAAGAGACAAGAGACTGAGTGCTGAGCTGACCTCCCCCACTGCCCCCACCCCAGGACTCACAGTGCTATTAACTGCTGCCATGTAGCTGGCATCCGGGTCTATGTGGGCAGATGTGATGGAGACCTCAGGCTCAGGGATTAGTTGCTCATTGTGGTCAGTTTTCAAGTCCCAGATGTGGATGGCGCCGCTCTGGTCACCCACAATGAGCTCCGCCTGGGGAGTAGGGGTGGTGAGGCGGGGTAGTATCCCTGTCCTCCAAAGCCCCAGAGTGCCCAGCCCTGTGCATACTCCTCACCTGGTTGGGGTGCAGGCACACACAGTTAATGGGGGCATTCACCTGGAAGATCCGCTGACACTGCAGGTTCCGGGACCTTCAGGGTAGGTGACATACACCGCCTGTAGTGGATGCTGTTGGTGCCCCACCCAGATGCCCTTTCCCTGATCATTTATCCTTGTCCCTCTGCTGATAGGCGCTGCCCCACAGGAAATACCTGGGAGTCTCGGCCCTCCCCAGGGGAGCCACCTGAACCCAATGCTAACTCAGAAAGGACATAAAGGCAGGACTTGCTCTTTGATGCAATTTACTTTCCAGATCTCTTATGGAATCAGGCTGAGGCTGGACTCATCTTTGTGTGGCTTCATCCCTGCCCTGAGCTCAATGCCCTCAATAGATCACCTCCACAGCAAACCATGTCTCAGCCTCTGCTTGGAAGGGACCCAACCCTAAGTCAGTCTCCAGCCTGGCTCTCACTCTCACACATCCAGGCAGCAGGCCCCTCCTACCTGGCAACCTCACCTGAGATCCCATATCCGGGCAGTGCAGTCCTCTCCACCCGTGTACATCCAGCGGCCATCCTCATGGAAGCCCACAGACGCGATGTTCTTATTGACCCCGTCATAGCTGATGATGGGGTTGGGGTTATTAGAGTTGAGATCATACATGCGGATGTGCTGGTAACCTGTGAGCACAGGTCAAACTGAGGTTTGGCTGTGCCTTGAGCAAACTGCCAGAAATTAGGGGCTGGATTGAGGGTACAGGTACCTGCAGCAGCAATCATGCTGCGGTCAGGTGTGATCTCAAGTGCATTCACCTGCTAGATCTGTTAAGGAGGATGATGAGCAGACCCCTGGGGCCAGGGGACCTCAAGGCCTCCACCGCTTGGCTCAGGCGGCATTGAGGCCTCTGCCCAGGCTGTTATCCCCACCAGGTGTCCTGCCCAGCCCCACTCCTCCTGACCTCCAGTCAAGGATACAGAGTCTTGGTGTTGCACTGTACGGGTGCAGATCCCACTGTGGGCCTGCCAGAACCGCACTGTGTGATCATAACCCGCAGTGGCCAAGATGACGGGGTCACTGCCCACCGTGCCTGGGGACGTGTTCATGTTGTGGCTCCCTGGAAGACTCAGCAGGGGTCAAAGGTCAGAGCATCTGGAAAAGAAAAAGGCTAGTAGTAGTTGCGGTATACCTTCTCTTTCCTAAGCAGATTATAGGTACAGTAGGTGCTGATAGGTATTATCATTCCCATTTTAGAGATGGGAAACAGGTTCCGAGAGGTTCAGGGACATGCATGACAACCGGCCAGGAGCAGCTCCCCGTTCCAAGGTGTGTGCTCGATTCTCCGCCCCACCTGTCACCGGCAGAGGGCAGTCACGTCCGGGGCGCCGCTCTGCCGCTGGGGAGGGCCGCGCGTGCGCAAGGCGACGAACGGGCCGAGAGGAAAGCCGAGCGCTGCGTCGGCGCATGCGTAGCAGGCCGGCAGCTAGACCTGATGTGAGGGGGCGCTCTGTACCTGGACCTTCGCACTTTTCAGTGCTCTGTCGACCGCTCTGGCTCCGTCTCGCTGAGCCGGCTTTCCCCGAGCGCGCCTTCCCGACCACCTGGCAGCCGCTTTCCAGCCCTTGTCCCACGGCCTCCGTACCTTACACGCGGCTCTGCGCTCTGCCGTAGTCCAGGACGGTGAGCGGAGTCGGAGTGAATCGCTAGAGGCTGAGGCCGAGCGTAGAGTTATCGATGGGCGGGCGACACCACGGCTGTAGGGGGGTGGGTGGGACGAGACCAAAGTTCTGGTGCTGGGGACCCCTCCCACCTGGGAGGAACCAGACGAGTCCTCAATGCCGCCTGCTGGCGCGGAATGAATGAACAAAGAGGCCCCAGCCTTCTCCCCCCACTCGGGCACCCCACCTTGTGGAACGGCTACTGGGTCCCGGGTCGGGGTCCTGCCATCCCCTCCTTCCCTGGATCCCCTACTCCCCATGCCGGGTAGAATTTCCAGGTAAATTACAGAATGCCAAGTTACATTTGAATTTCAGGTAAGCAACAACAATTTTTTTCAGCGTAAGTATGTCCCAAATATTGCGTGACATATACCAAAAAGTTATTAGTTGCCTGTGTGAAATTCGCATGTAACTGGAAGTACTGTAGTTTTATTTACTGGATCTGGCAACGGCCTATCTAACCCTGTCCTAACCCTCAGGTCTCCCAACTCAGGCCAGTGACTCCGTCCAACACTGGGGTCTCTCCTATCTCATTTTCCATTCCAGCCCTCCCACACTGCACACTTGTGGCCTCCTTCTCACAGAAAAATAGAATCCTTGCTACAGATTCCCACAGTTTATTCCCACCACGTTTAAACACAGCTGCACCACCTCCACCCTTCCTTCCTCTGGCCCCCTGACATCTCCCCATCCATCCACCTAAGCCCTGGGTCCCTGGAACCTTCCTTCCTGTGCCTTCTCCACCTCCCCTTCTTCTTTGCTGTCGGCCTTTAAACACCATAAAACAAACCAAAATTCTTACAGCCAGCACTCTCTCTCCTTCAAAGAGCTATCTTCACTGCCTCACGGCCCCACACCCCTGCCTTGCCACTCATTCCTTGACCTGCTGCTGTCTTGTCTTTTACCCTCAGCTCTCAGTGAAAATGTCACAAGGTCACATTGCCAAACCCAGTTGATACTTTTCCTTCTGCATCTTGACACATCTGCACAGTGGTTGACAGCATCGCTCTTGAAAAGCTCCTGTCACCTAGTGTCTTACCCAGGCACTCAGTCTTTCTCTGCCTTCTCCTAAAGGCTGGTACCCTCCAGAGTTCCTCTCTCTGCACGCCCTTGTCACTGGGACCTCTAGTCCATTCTCCAGGACTTCCAATACCTTCCCTGCTCCTGGGCCTTTCTACCCCCTCTCCAGCTCAGATCTGGCCCCCTGTGAGACATTATTATTCCTTGAAGGCCCAGAGACACCTCTACTTTCCATAGCCAAGACAGTTCACCATGGACCTACCCCTTCTGTGTGCTAGTGGCCACCCAGTGTTACAGTTAGGTGTAATCTGGATGCATCCACCATCCCCTCTTCCATAACAGCCTCTTGACCTGTCTTCTCACATCACTCTGGCCTCCTTCCAGGCTATCCTTAACATTGCAAAGTGAACTTTTAAAAACCTAAGTCTGACCCCCTCTGAAGCCTTCAGGGGTCCCCTGTCACCATCCAAACTCCTGGGCCTGGCCCCTGTGGACCCTGCAGACTTCTTCCTCTTTCCACTCCATAAACCACGTGCTCCTGGGCAGAGTAGATGACAGTCTTGAATTTGCCACTACACACTCCCCTCTGAACCCTTATTCACAGCTAGGATGCTTTCCCCTCCACCTCTTTACTGGCTAAACTCCTGTTTTTCAGCACCTTTCATAACATTTTGAGGGCACATTCTGTGTGGGGTATGCTGGTGTTTTGTTTTAATTTGTTTTAATCAAATTCACAGTATGAATTTAACAATTCTCACAACTCAGTAGTACATTCACAAGGTTATGCAACCACTACCTCTGTCTAGTTCCAGAACATTTTCATCACCTCAAAGAAAACCTGATTATGGAGTCACTCCTCATTTCCCCTGCCCTCTCAATCCCTCAGCCCCCCAGTCTACTTTCTGTCTCTATGGATTTGCCTGTTCTGGATATATATATTTTTTAATTTTAATTTTTTAAAATTCTCATCTCCCTACCTTCTTCTCTTTGGCATCAGCTTGTTCTCTATTTGTTTTGTTTATTCATTTGTTTTTGTTTTGTTTTGTTTTGTTTTTTTAGATTCCACATAAAAAGTGAAATCATATGGTGTTTGTCTTTCTGTCTGACTTATTTCACTTAGCATGATACCCTCTAGATCCATTCATGTTGTTGCAAATGGCAAGATTTAATTCTTTTTATGGCTGAATAATATTCCATTGTGTGTGTCTGTGTGTGCATGTGCATGTATATGTATGTGTACACATACACATCATGTCTTCTTTATCCATTCATCTATTGGTAGACATCTAGGTTGCTCTCATATCATGGCTATTGTAAATAATGATGCAGTGAACATAGGGGTGCATATATCTTTTCAAATATGTATTTTTGATCTCTTCAGATACACACCCAAAAGTGGAATTGCTGGGTCATATGGCAGCTCTATTTTAAATTTTTTGAGGAGTCTCCATACTGTTTTCTATAATGGCCGCACTAGTTTATAGGTCCACCAACAGTATATGAGGGTTCCCTTTTCTCCACCCTCACCAGCACTTGTTATTTGTTCATTTATTGACGATAGCCACTTTAACGGGTGTGAGGTGATATCTCATGGTGATTTTAATTTGCATTTCCTTGATGATTAGTAATGTTGAGCATCTTTTCATGCCTGTTGGCCATCTCTATGCCCTCTTTGGAGAAATGTCTGTTCAGGTCCTCTGCCCATTTTTTAATTGGATTTTTTTTGGTATTAAATTGTATGAGTTCTTTATATATTTTGGATATTAACCTTTTATTAACCTTTTATTTGCCAACATCTTCTCCCATTTAGTAGGGTGTCTTTTCATTTTGTTGATGATTTCCTTTGCTATGTAAAAACTTTTTAGTTTCATGTAGTCTTGTTTATGTTTTAATTTTTTTCCTCTTGTTCGAGGAGACATATCCAAAAAGATATTTACTAAAAGTGATGTCGAAGAGTTTACTGCCTACATTTTCTTCTAGGAGTTTTATGGTTTCAGGTCTTACATTTAAGTCTTTAATCCATTTTGAGTTTATTTTGTAATTGGTGTGATAAAGTGATCTAGTTTCATTTGTTTGCACATATCAGTCCAGTTTTCTCAGCACTACTTGTTAAGGAGACTGTTCTTACTCCACTGTATATCTTTGCCTTCTTCGTCGTAGATTAATTGACCATATAAGTGAGGATTTATTCTGGGCTCTCTGTTCTATTTCATTGATCTATATATCTGTTTTTATGCCTGTATCACTCTGTTAGATTATTGTAATATAGTTTGATATTAGGGAGCATGACACCTCCCACTTTGTTCTTTCTCAAGATTTCTCTGGCTATTCTGCTTTTTTTTGTGGTTCCATATAAATTTTAGAATTAGTTTTTCTAACTCTGAGAATGCCATTGGTAGTTTAATAGGGATTGCATTGAATCTGTATATTGCTTTAAGACATTTTAACAATATTAATCATTCCAATTCATGAGCTAGGTATATCCTTCCATTTATTTGTATCTTCTTCAATTTCTTTCTTCAATGTCATAGTTTTCAGAGTGGAAGTGTTTCACTTCTTTGGTTAAATTTATTCTTAGATATTTTATGCGTTTCGAGGCAGTTGTAAATGGGATTGTTTTCTTAATTTCTTTTTCTGATCATTTACTATTGGTTATAGAAATGCAACAGATTTCTACATACCGATTCTATAACCTTCAACTTTACTGAATTCATTTATTAGTTCTAATAGTTTTTTGGTGGAGTCTTTAAGAGTTTTCTATATATAGTATCGTGTCATTTGCAAATAATGAAAGTTTTACTTCTTCTTTTCCATTTTGGATGACTTTATTTCTTTTTCTTGTCTAATTGCTGTGGCCAGGACTGCCAATACTATGTTGAATAGAAGTAGCGATCGTGAGCATCCTTGCCTAGTTCCTGATCTTACAAGAAAAGCTTTCAGCTTTTCGCCACTGAATATGATATTAGCTGTGGGTTTATCATATATAGCCTTTATTATATTGAGATATATTTCTTACATACATACTTTATTGAGAGTTTTTATCATAAAGGGATGTTGAATTTTGTCAAATGCTTTTTCGGCATCAATTGAGATGATTATATCATTTTATCTTTTTTTTTTTAATGTAATGTATCACACTGATTGATTTATAGATGTTGAAGCATCTTCAATCCCTGGGATGAATCCCAGTTGATCATGGTGTATAATCCTTCTAAAGTATTGTTGAGCCTGGTTTGTTAATATTTTGTTGAGAATTGTTGCATCCATGTTCATCAAGGATACTGGGCTGTATGAATATTTCATTTAAATAGAATTAAACACTATATAGCCTTTTACGTCTGGCTTCTTTCAAGTTCTCACGGTTTGTCTTGGTAATAGCAAGTATCAGTACTTCATTCTTTTTTATGGCCAAATAATTTTCCATTATATGGATAGACCACATTTTGTTTATCTATTCATTAGTTGATGGACACTGAGTAGTTTCCACTTTTTGGCTATTATGAATGATACTGCTATGAAAATTTTTGTACAAGTATCTTTTTGAGTAAATGTTTTCATTTTTCTATACATATACCTAGGAGTGAAATTGCTGGTTCACATGAGAACTCTATATTTAACTTTTTGAGGACCTGTCACGGATTATGAGGAGTGTTTTACCTACGTTATACATCAGATCTTCACAATGAATCTGCCAAGGAGAAACCAACCCCTTTTTGGAGATGAGAAAACTGAGGCTCAAAGATGTAGAGATATGCGTCCAGGCGTATGGCTGGCACATGACAGAACCTATCCTGCTGGGCTCAGCTCTCCCCCAGTCTCATCCCTTCTGGCTGGGGTGACTATTCTCCAGGAAGCTCCTGCATCTCATATTCCCTATTCCTCTGAGGCAGCTCCACCAGGCTCAGAGGCAGCTCTGGAAGTGGCAGATGAATACATGGGCTCAGAAGGCTGGAAGAGGAAGAGCCCTGTGAACCCCATCACCTGAAGGATGTCCAGAGCAAACTGGCAAAGGAAGCTGAGAGCAAGAGAGAGGGGTGGAGCTGTGGGAAGTTTGGAAGACTTGGCCAGGTGTCTCTGGGGTTTCCACTTTGGGTCCAGGGACAGGTCCTAAGCTGTTTGCCTTTCCTGTGGGGGTTATGAGTAGAGCCTGGGGCCTGCACATGTCCCATACCTAGGGGTAAATGACAGACTGGGCCAGGCTCCTCACCCAGCCTGTGCAATTCCAACATCTCTGCTGAGCAGGAACGGGGGGACGGGATGCATAGATGTGCATTCCCTCTTATGTATCAAACATCAGCTGAGCACTTTACAGATGTGGCATAAATGAGAATGATAGAAACCATAGCAGCTAACATATGCTGCATGCTCCCAGCAGCCCATGGGGAGGGTACATTCGTCATCCCCATTTTATACATAAAGAGGTGGGCACCAGGGCTCTGGGAGGGTGGGAAGAGTACCAGGAAGCACCTGAAGAGGAGCACAGCTGGTGGACAGGGGCAGGGGCTGGCCTGCTACTGGAGGCATCCAGTGCAGCTGGGAAGGGGGCCAGCCCAGGCTGCAGTGAAGTGGCTGCCAGCTCTACTCCAAGCTGAGCCTTAGCAATTCTGCTGGCTCAGCGGCCCCTCCTTTCAGAGATTGTGCTCATCCTCAGAGGCCTGACTTCCTGGAGGGAAGTCCCACACCTCTGTTTCCTCATCCCCTAGCTCGATCAGCTTGCTTGCCATGCTGCCCCCATCCCCAGGCTGGGGTGACCCCAGGCAGATGCACATCTCTATTTTCATGTGGACCCTCCCATCAGCCCTGGGCTGCAGGCAGAACTGCTGGCCCATTTTACAGATGAGGCAGCTTGTCCAAGGTCACTGGGCTGGCCAGTAGCAGATCTAGGACTTCTTGACTCCTCCTAGGGTGTTTAGCCTCACCAAGCAGGGCGAATCTAGGAGAATCTGTACAGCTTTCTTCCCAAGTCTGTCCTCCTGAAAGTGGACCACACAGCAAGATGCCCATCCCTAGGGGACAAGAGTGACTAAAGGGTGCCTGTTTGTGGGGTACAGGTAAAGTTGGAGCTGGGCAGAAAACAGCTGTAGGCAAGGGCCAGGTCATTACCCACAGGAATTCAAGAATTCTAAATTGGAATTTGACCTTTCAGGTCATGATGAAGGTATATTTGTCAAGGTAGGAGGGTAGAACATATTTTAACAGGTTAATAGCATGATTTATAATGCTTAAATATTTAGCCATTCAATGTGTGGGCCCTGCAATATGTTAGGCTCGGGCCAGAGTAGTTTACCTTAACCAGCCAAAACACAGAAATAATGGTAAGGATGATAGCTATCTTTATATTTTTATTTTTTTGTAGTGTTTTCTGTGTGCTAGGCACACTGCTAGGCTCTGCAGATACAAAGATGAATAAAATACAGCTGTTTCTCAGACAACCCAGGTAGGGAGACCCAAGAATATCACAGTATCCAAGGCAGCCATTTGTTGAGCACTTACTAAGTTCTATTGCAAAGTGCTTCATTGATAGCATCACAACGAATCCTTAAATAACCTAAGGGGAGTATCAGTCTTACCATATTTTACAGAGGAAAAACAGACTCAGAAAGATAACATGATAGAAAAACAAACCAGTAAGAGGCAGAATTGGGACAAGTGCAGAGGCCAATGTGGGTTCAAAGCTCAGACTCATGATCTTGAGACTCTGGGAACTCAGGAAAGTCACTTGGCTTCTCTCAGCCTCAGTTTCTTCATCCGTAAAATGGGCTCATCTATGAAGTCACTAGCATTGCTCCTGATCCAGCAGATGCCCAGGAATTAGTCACCATAAAGGATGGGGAAAGGGCCCTTGCGTTTAGGGATCCCTCTGACAGCCCAGATCTAGGCTTGCTCCCTAAACTTCATAGGAGATCCCATGGGGAGAGAAATGGTCAGCTGCCCAGATCAGGGAATCCCAATGCCTTACCTCCCCCAATCTTTGGTCACCTTCCTTCTGGAGGTGCTTGATGTCTTGGGCTTTAAGAAGAGGGTCATCAGGCCATCATGTGGGGAAGCTCACCAGATGCTTCTAACAGCCTTGCCCAATTGGGGTGATGCTCTTACCCTTCCTGCAAATGAGGAAACAACCTGAGCCAGGACACAGACCCCAAGCCAGATGTCTCTGGAATGCTACAGCCATGACAAGGTGAGGGCCTGAGGCCCAGGAGATCAGAAAGGTCAGACCTCTGTGTGTGGGAGTGGGAGTGGTGGTGGGGGGGGAATGTCAGTGTCTGTCAAGCAGGACTGTCCTGTCAGGGGCTGCCAGAGTCTAGCTGGAGGCTGGAGTGTAAGCAGGCTTGGGTGGGGACTCAGTTTGGTGCTGGACAAGACTGATCTGTGCTGGAGATGGGGGGATTGAGGCCCCCTTGGTGGTAGGTGTGGGGGGTGCTGCACCTCAGTTGAGGGAACTGCAGTGGGCTTGGGGTTCAGCTTGAAGCTGGTGTGGAGCTGTTGCTCTGTGTTATTTGTGGAGAGAGCCAGAGGCTGCAGGGGAAGAAGGTGCAGTTGGTGAGGGGGGTGCGGGTTCCCTGACACCGAATTCATTATTGGGAGATTCCTCTTCACAATTCCTCGACACCTCCCACGGGAACCACGGGCCAGAAATGTCTCAGTCTCTGGCAGGCCGGCTCCCGTGCCGCCGCTGGTGCCCGGGTCTCCCAGTGCCTGGGTCCCCGCCCGCCCATTGCTGTCGAGTCCCTCCCCGCTTGGGTCCCGCAGCCTCAGGAAGCCTCTTAGGCTCAGCCTCGCGCCGCCGCTGCCGTGTTGGGGCTCAGGGTCCAACCCCCCGGCGGCTGATGTCCCCAGGCCCCGGAGCTCGCTCAGAATCGCCGGGTGTCCGCAGAGTCCCAGCCTGACCCCCACGGCCTGCACGTGGGGAGGGGGCGTCTCAGGAGGATGAGGCCTGATGTAGGGGCGGAGCCAAGTAGCTAGGCGCGCAGCCCGCGCGGGCAGACGGAGGTCAACAGCTGCAGGAGGGGGACCCAGGCGTCCGGGAGACGGTGCCAG